CAAATAAAAGGTCATATCGCCTATTTTAGTCATGAAAGCTTTTTACCTGTGATAAGGATAACTGTAGTTCTACTTTCATGAGGGAGCTTTTCTTGAAATTTTTAATATAGGAGTCTTGCAATGCAGCGAAAAAAGAATTTACTTACAGTCGGCCATCCTGCAAATATCTCGTCCCGAAATATCTAGGACTCCATTGGCTGATCATCGTCAGAACTCAAAAGAACACCATCGTCACCGCTTTCGCTGTCCGTAGAATCTGAAACACCTCCAGGCTGACACCAGGGGCGCATCCGATCAACAGCGATGGTCTTTTCATACTTGAATGTTTTTCGTGTAACATGGGAATTTTCCATATCTCTGACAACATATCGATCGTTTGGCAATGCAACTTTCACGACCATAGATCCGCTATATGGGGCATTCAGTTTTCTACTAGTGCCAGTGGATTTTACTTGTTTCAGTACTACTACAAAGTCTCCTTCTTTGTAAACCTGTAATTTCTTGCACTTTTTGTCAAAATACTGCTTTTGTTTGGCTTGGGTCGATCGAATTTTCTCTGCCGCTTCATGCCTTGCAACTAAAATATTTTCTAACATTGCAGGAATTTCAGAGACTTCATCCCTCAGCAATGCGTCAGCGCTATTTCTTGGTGTGTACCCGAAGAGTAGCTGACTAGGTGTTTTGCCAGTCGCTTTATGAGTAACATTGTTGATGGCAAATTGTACAGACCGAACACTTTCGTCCCATAACTCTTCTTCGGGTACAGATGGTAATAATGCTTCAAGAATGGTTCTGTTTAAGTGTTCCACCTGCCCATTTGCTCTAGGAGTTGCGACAGCATTGAGTACATGTTGATGTTATTCTGGTTGCAAAATTGTTGGAATTGTTTGGATGTAAAACAAGTTCCTTGATCCGATATAAGGATTTGTAGTACTCCATAGGTTGCAAAAATATCTTTGAAATACTCAATAACGTGTTTGGACATGGTGCATTTGGCGGCACGCAAAAATACGAATTTTGTAAAAGCATCAATTCCTACTATGAGATAAGAATTATTTTTCTTTGATTTTGGGAAAGGTCCTAAATGATCCACATGGAACGTGTGTAGAGGTACTTCTCCTTTTGGGATTGGGATAGGATAGAAATCCCTCCTTTTTGCCTGATGTTCTTTTGTTATAAAGACATGGAATACAGCAGGAAATGTATTGTTGAACATATTTATGCATTCTGGGAAACCAATAATTTTCGCAAAGTCTTTTCAACGTCTTTTCGAGTGCCCAAAATCATCGTGTGCTGCTCTTAACACACGCTGCCTCATTCCGTTTGGAACAACCCAAAGTAGGCCTCTCGTAGTTATTCTATATACTCGGCCGTCCCGCAGGCAATAGTCTTTATAAACATTCTTTTCAAAATCTGTTTCCGGTGGTCTTGAAAGAACTTCACGTATAGTTTTAATTTTATCGTCGGTGAGCTGTCCTAAAAGCACCCAATCTCCTTCCCCAATGTGTAGAATCACTTCCCACTCTTCCTGATTTTGATTGTTCGTTGGTGGGTTACGACTAAGTGCATCCACATGGCTCACACGTGGCCCAGGTCGATATTTTACGTCGAAGGTGAATTCCTGGAGTTCCAGCCACCATCTGGCAATTCGTGATAAGAGGTTCTTTTTGTTACTGGCTGCTTTGAGTGAATTACAATCGGTGATAACGGTGAAAGATATGCCAAGTAAGTATGTTCGAAATTTCCGGAGACTTTCCACTACCGCTAACGTTTCCAGCTCAAATGAGCGATATTTCTGTCCAGTATCGGAAGTCTGGCGACTATAGTATGCAATTGGATGTAATCGTTCGTCTATTTGCCTTTGAAGTAATATTCCAGCTAATCCAATTTGGCTTGCGTCGGTTTGTAATTCAGTAGCTGCCTCAAAATTAAATAGACTCAAAACAGGGCGACTGATCAAAATTTCCTGTAGTTTGCGAAATGCACTGTCTTATTGAGTTCCCCAAGTCCATGATGCTGTCCTTTTGGTTAATGCTGTCAATGGTTTTGCAATTATGGCATAATTTTGTACGAAATGCCGGAAATAGCCTGTTAGACCAAGGAATTGACGTGTTTGGTGCACAGATTTTGGGGTAGGAAACTGTTCAACGGCTTTATTCTTCTCAAGTCCAGGCTTAAGCAGGTAACAGGCTCTATTTCATAGTCCAGATACGATACAGACGTCTTCAAAAAGTTACACTTTTTAAGGTTTAGCGTTAACCCTTCGTGTCTTAGAATGTCTAAGACCTCTTTCAAAACCTTTATCGTTTCATTTACAGTCGACCCATACAAAAGTATATCGTCCAGATAAAGTGCCGAATTGACTCGCATTGGCTTAACACTTAATTGGTCGCTCCGGCGTAAAAAGTACGCCAAACGAGTTCAAACACGTGACATACTGAAACTAGCGATTGGCCGAAGGTGATCGTCTATGTAACCTACCACCAACCATGGTGTCTTGTATGCACTAGAAAAGTGGCGATTCCGTAGGTTTCCATTTCGCTTCCCTGCAGGGCGCTGCTTTAAATAATGTACTAACTGGCGTATAAAATACGCCAAAGCGACCGTTTATGATTTTTATTTTTATAGTGGTTTATAATACTGTTTTCGCCTAAAATGCAACATTTATGTGGTTGGGATTGAAAATGTTAGTTTTATGTGTTTTGCTTTACCCCTTTAGCGAAAGGATTTTAGAAAATGGAATTTATTCAGTTTTCCTTATTTTTTTATTTTCTATAAATAAAATGCTTTTTCATTTTTTTGTGACACATTATAGCTAATATTTTATGTGTTAATAAATCAATACTTGAAGTTACTGAGGATTCCACATTACTTTAAAGTTAGCAAAATTCCTCCCGAATATGAAAAGACATTTTTATTTGAGTGGCGTACAAATTACGCCAAGCGACCAGTTATGTGAAATAAAATCTAGCGACCAGTTAAGGTTTAAGTATTCGTGTCATCAACCTCTGAAAAACTCTGGGCGCGTTGCTTAGTCCAAAAGGAACTCTGTTGTATTCGTATTGCCCTTCAGGCGTTACAAAAGCAGTGTAATGTTTGGAGGACTCCGCAAGTTGTATCTGATGGTATCCTGCTTTCAGATCGAGACTAATAAAATAATGTCCAGTCTGTAACTTACCAATTTGATCGTCAATTTGAGGTAATGGATGACTATCCTTAACGCAGAGAGAGTTTAACTTGCGGTAGTCGATGCACAATCTCTGCCCTCCATTTTTCTTTCTAACTAATAGAACAGGTGATGAATACTCGGAGTCAGATTCACGAATAATTATTTTACTTCTGAGCAAGTCCTCAACAATGTCCTTTACTAGGTTTTGTTCAGTTGATGACATCCGGTAGGGTCTATATGAAAATGGTTTATTTTCTCGAATATTGATTTCCTTTTGAGCATTTTTTGAACAACCAAGTTCTTCCGTTGTTAACGCAAAACAATCGCGATATTCCTGTAGCAATTTCAGTAATTGTTGCTTTTGCTGCTAATCTATTAGACCCTGAGATAGGGCCTGTTTAGTGGAGTCATTTTTTTTGTCTGGCATTTTGAGGGATGAATGTGACTAGTTAGCTGATGAGAATATAAGTGGTTTTAATGCCTGCCTCCTGTTCGAAATGTCCACAGAATGTTTCGCCGGAAAACTCGATTTCGAACTGTGATTACCGTCTGGCGATTTTTCAGCGTTATTTGCACAACAAAACCTTTCATTCTCTCGATTGCCAGACAAAAAGTAAACGCGGAAGGTTCTTTTCTTTTCTCTTGGAAGTTGACACCCATCCCCATGTTTTCAGCTATTGAAAAGAATCTGATATTTTTCATGGGTGAATTATTTATCAATGTCAATCTTTTATTTAAAAGCTAGAAAATTTGAGATCATTAAAAAAAAATTCTTCATGTAAACCAATTTTTTTCTTATGCAAATTTTCGAACTGGAGGCCGGCATTATAATCACCCATATTCTCATCAGCTTAGTAGCCACATTCAGCCCTCAAAATGCCAGACAAGAAAAAAATGACTCCACTAAACAGCCCCTATCTCACAGTCTATATGGGTCCTATCCAGACTTCTTCTAGAGGTAAACGCCCTGTATTTGCCTCACCAGCTCTCATCACCATTTCTGTTGAATTTTCCTCCTCTGTACACTTGCATGCCCTTCAGATACTCTATTTTTCTTAAAATCTATATCATTATCTGCTTATGCAAGGTAATAATGCAGGCTCTCCTTTTTTAATCGATATTATTACACGAGGAATACAATATTCTTGTCCTTCTTGCATTCGGACACTAGCGTCGATGCAGAGATTACCTTCATAAGAATTGCTGTCAACCTGAACATGTCCCCAGTGATTTGGCAGTATTGTAGTGTTTTCTGCAATCCGACGTACAATTTTTGAATCATTTGGTTTTGTTCCTATTGCATTTATTCCCGCTAGACTCCTGCTGAAAAATGTCAATGCAATATCATCTTTGATAACAAGTACGACTGGCAGTTCTGTGAAATTCCCCCAGCAAAATTGGTATCTCCAGAGCTACGTTAGCCACAACATGGGCAGACACAGTTGTTTCCACATCATCCACTTTAATTCGGAAACTTGTGGTACCTATTGTAGGGGTGCGCCCGTTGCCATAGTCATGTAAAGCGGTTTTCTTGGTGGCATCAATTTCTAAAGCTAACCGTTCTGCTTCCTGTTGACGAATAGTAGTACAGGAACTACCCAAATCCACGTAGGCGAAAAGATGAAATTCTATTGATATCTACGGCTTTATCAAATTTTTGATTGGTCTTGTCCTTGTCCGTTACTAGTCATAATTTTTCATTTCCCTTCTCCTTTCTTTTTTTCAAAAAACAATCATCTTCTACATGTCCGCGACATCGACAATAGTCGCAGCGTTTTTCGAAATTATTGTTGGTTCCCTTTTCTGCACACCTACTAGATATGTGCCCTGATTAATGGCACTTAAAACAAGTTATCGTGGTACTTTGTTTGGATGTTTTATTGTCCTTTCTGAAATTGCCAGATTTTTGTCTTGACGTATGTAGACCAACATCATGACCTCTGGATGTGCCAGGTGAAGTAGTATCCAAGGTACAAAGGTATCCATACAAGGACTCAGGTGATTGATGATCGACCGCCTTCGCTCCAGTTTTAACCACATTATCAAACATGCCTCCAATAAGGCATGAAACTGCTTTGACTCCTGTGATTTCGCAGCTATTTATTAAAGTCATTTTTTCATAGTAGTATTTGCAGTACGTCTCGTCCTGCTTCCTTGTCCTAGCCATCATTTGCTGGAATTCTTCAAAGAAGTCGCGTTTAGATGGAAATCCTTGCTCCAGCTTTTGTTTCCGTTCATTCCAGGAAAATTTTACGCTTGGTAAGCCCTTGTACCAAACTTCAGCCAAACCTTTCAGTTTGCTCATCGCAAAATAAATTGTAGCCTCTTCAGACCATCCAAAAATGTCTCTTAACACGTCAACCTTTCGACACCAATCGAAAACAGTTTGGGTTCTATCATCAGGATCAAAAACAGGTACCATTTCCCCGCGCACAGCAGGGGTACTAGCCCTTTTTCTTGGCGTATTTGCCTTCGCCATTATATCTCCCCGAAGTGCTATTTATAATGCCTCCATTGCTATTTAAATGTAAACCTAAAGGTACGGCTTGTTAGGATAGTACGCGACGCACAACTGACAACGTAAACGTCGTCATTGGTTCAGGTATGACGTACACCCGTTTTCTGAACTGACGCTGACTTCAGGGAACGGGTGTACGTCATACCTGAACCAATGACGACGTTTACGTTGTCAGTTGTGCGTCGCGTACTATCCTAACAAACCGTACCTTAAATCGTACAATCCTTATATGGCGGACTTGCCGGCCCTCCGTTGTTCTCAAGTCAAGGCATTCTCTTCAGTTTATGTAGATTTTGCTAGACCCTTTCCTCTCCTGCTAAGTAGGCACCGAGGTGCTAAAACATTTAAAGGTTACGTTTGCGTATTTGTTTGTACTTCCACATTTAGAATTGACCTCAGATTTAACTTCCGATCCCTTTGTAGCAGCTTTCAGATGTTTTTTATCCCGACGAGGAAATTGCGTGACTATCACCAGTGATCAAAGTACCAATTTTAAAGGTGCTTATCGACAACTCCGACATGTTGTCTCTTCCTTGGAACTTCAATCCACTCGGTTCTCCTCATTTTAATGGTTTAGCCGAGGCTGGAGTGAAATCATTTAAAAATAATTTTTATCGAGTTTTGGGTTCTCAGATTTTATCCTATGAAGAACTTCACACTTTTTTTACCCAGGTAGAAGCTTCATTAAACTCACGTCCCTTGTGTAGTATCAGTGCAGATCCAAATCCAACTCATTCAGCGACTCCAGAGCGATTTTTGGATACGTTGATTACAAGAATATATACATTCTTTGCAAGGAAAACACAAGTGGTTGGATAAAAAATGAAAAACTCCACCCACTTCACTGGGAGATAGGTCGAGATATTGATATACATCCAGGACAGGATAATACCATTAGAGTTGTTACTCTGAAAAGGTGTTGTGCAAAAATCTGTGGTCAAGATTTGCCCTTTGCCGGGAAACTATATTTTTTTTATATATCTATTTACGTTTAGTTGATTTTTTTTAAGTTTAGTTTTATTGTTACCAAACCTTTTCTCATCCTGTTTTTGAAACATGCGTTTTGGTGGGGCGAATATTTAAAAAACTCTTAAAGATTTTTGGGTTATTTTAATAATATAATAATGTGCAGAGCAATCTACAGAATTTAATCGTGTCTATTTTTTTATTACCGATATTTCATTTATCATGCGCACACGTCACTTGCTAGGAGCTGCATTTTTATGCTGCCTTAACCGAGATCAAAAATAATACATTCTCGGCCAAAATAGACTCGCTACGCAATCCGTAAAAATATCGTGTCGTATCGAACGGTTCGACTATACTACAGCGAAACTGCTCTTCTTTTCAATTAATTGAACAGACACCTCTTCAAGATGATAGAGTCAACACCACAGAATTTAATCCTCTTCATTTTGGACCAGTACCCAGAGAACCAACAGAAGACTATGAGTTCCAACAACCTAGGAGCTTACCAAACGTTGTTCGTGTCAACTGCTCAGCAGGTCCCTTTTTTTTCTATCATTTTAAGCCATGCAGTATTCTGTTTTAATTGATGTTGATGATTTTCATGATGGGATTTCATTGCCTTGGGCAGCCATATACCTATGATTCTAACCAATTTGACTACTAGTAAGTTTGTATATCGTTGGACATTCGATAGAGTGTCTCACTTTGTGCCATATATGCGTAAGTAGGTAAATGAGATAAATGAGACTTGTTATTTTTAATTTTCTACAAAATTGCCACGAGCCGCAACTGATAATAACTTGAAAATTATAGTTTTCATTTGAAACATCTAGAATAATATTTCTACACTTTGTTACTATTAGTTTCAGAAATTAATTTGTAGTAAGCCTATTAGTTTTTGAATTTTCTCATAATTTTAGTTTTCAGAAAGACAAGAGAAGCAGAACCAAGAACAAATTAAATAATCTAGGCTGTATTATATTTATTTTTGGTTCAAGTTCATCAGTCAGCTTTCCCCAGCGTAGAACTATTTAGTTTTTCTTCTTTTATTATTACATTGTCTTTATTATTCAATAAGTATCAATAAGTAATTCTGGTACAGGACTGGCTTAGTTAGATAATAAAATATTTCCTTAGATTTTTAAAGAAATATTTTTTAAATAATAATCATCTAAATTATATGCAAATTTTAATAAACAATATATTTCAACAGAACTTCTTCAAAGACCCTTGGAACACCTTCGATTTCGTCACTGTTATTGGCAGCATAGTAGACGCAATGGTCGTCGAATTTGGCGTAAGTATCTTCGTGTCATTTAAAGCATAATTAACCTAAACCTAATTCTGTAAATATATAATTCAACCTTTTTTTTACTTGTTTTTACAAAATGCCACAATTATGACACCCCCCTTCCCAATAAATGACACTCCGACAGATATACGGGCGACTGATATGGAAGGTACCAAAAAAAATAAGTGAATTTTGTGATTTTATATATAGCATTTTGGCAACGCAGCGCGCTGTTGAGCACTCACGGCGTCGTGCACCCACAATCCTGCAACATTAATCATAAATATGGCAACATTGCAATACTTCTTTTTTTTTTTTTTTTTGGATTTGTTAATACTTGTAAGGACTTTTATGCTCAGACAGGGTGAGAGAACATCATTAGATTTAACTTAATTGAAATGTTTCTGTACCTAAATCAGCAAAACAAAAAATCCATTGAGTTTTTTTTTTTTTCTATTCATCAGCAACTATTCAAATTTTCCAGAAACGGCAGAGAAATTTGATTTTTTTATTTTTTACACAGTTCCAAATACCTAACTGTGAAAACAATGTCGGTTTCTCGAAATCTTCTACAAAAAGCGTCATCAATATGATGAAAATTTTGATAAAGGTTTCCATCTTCTATTTCAACAATAACAGCAAATTTTTTTCTTGGGCATTAATGTTGTTTGGAGCACTAGCATATTACCATATATTCCAAATCCTAGTAATCTTCATCAAAATGATTGCCACTGGCATAACTACAGGTCATCAGGTAATTTTTTCTTGTTTTTGAAGAACATCCTTTGTGGAAACGGAGATAAATAATAGTACTGTAACGAGATCAGATTGACTGTGTGTCTGATGTTGTGTCCGTCAGTAGGCTGGAGGTATCTAATGAGAACGTTATCATGCGCAACCTTCAATAAAACAGCGCAGTCAGCCAACTTCAATATAACTGAAGTACTAGTGAATAATGAAAAATTTGGAAACTGAGAAATAAGACTTCATACTGTAAGTAGCTACATGGAAACTGGAAACAGACGCAACCTATGGAACTAGTAATGAGATGCTCAAGCTCGCTATTCCTTTTAATATCTGAGGTGTACGTACTCCTGAAATCACAGATCTAGAAAGTTTCCCTAACAATTGAGACCCCGATAGCTTTAAGTATGTATAGTCTGGCAAGTAGTAACTTAGTAGAGACGAAAGGGGGAAGAAAAGTGGGGCGTATCCTAAAAATATTCACTGACACCTCAACTGACACCGCCTGATGAGGGACATGTCTTTGAGTTCAGTGCCACCGAAACCACCAAGGAAATAAACCAATAAAATTATTAGAAAAAAAAAAAACTGTAGTTTCGCGAATAACCACGCCACTGCGTGCTGTCATTCAGGCTCTAACCAATAGAATCATGCCTCTGAATAATCACGCCTCTTCTTTTGTAATGTTGCCGGATTTTTTTCTATTTCAAAATATTATACATGCCGCATATAGCAAAAAAAATATGTCACCAACTTGTTTATCATTATTTACGTCAAGTTTGACAAAGCAGCAAATTCTTTTGGAGTTCGCCGTTTCGCTAGCCAGACAATAGTATAACCAAACATTGGTATAACATACCCGGGTTCGTTCAGCAAGATTGAACGGTGAATTTTTTATTACCTTTTAAACAACAAATCTTCTGAAAACGAAATCAAAAACAAATAGGACCTACGTTGTGGAAACTTACTCAATTCTACTTACTGGACATGCGCCCGACATAGCAAAATTAGGGAAATTTAGGAGAAGCTGTGGTATGTAAAAGAAACGCAAAATTTGTGAAACGTCTACTTTATTAATAAAGTAAATCGTAACGTTCTCGACCTGGGGTCGTATTTTCGAATTCATTCGAATACATTTCGTATACGAAATTTGATTGACAACAATGTGAATTAAATGGGGAGTATTCGAAATCGAATCAAATTTCGCATGCGAGAATATTTTAAAATACGACCACTGGAATTCTCGAGGGGAACGAGAATGGCAGAGAAACCCTCGATCGAACATTCCTCGAAAATTAAAACATGCTGTGTCATTTTAATAATAATTGTAATTGTAATTCAATAATAGTTTGCAACAAAATTAAATTAGGTACCTACCTTGTGCTAAAATTTTAATTCCACACACTTACATTCAATCAACACCACTTATATTCATTATTGAAGAGTTTTTGGTTAGTTAGCCAGCCTGCCAGCAGGTACTGAGTTCCCGTACGAGAGGCTACTCGGCTATAGTTGTTATTTTTAGCCAATATCTTTAGATTACTTATTTCAATTTATTCGCTAGGATATTCGCTTGTCAGGGTAGGAAAGTGTTGTAGATTCAACAAAGCCCTAATGCACGCTCTGAATACCAAAAATTAAAATTTCAGCACAAAAGACAGCTTTAGATTTTAATTTATCTTTTTTATCTGCGTTGTTCACAGCATGAAACGATTTTTGTTAAATACATGAACAATGCACATGTTATAAAAAATGTTATAAACAAAACAAAAAAAACATAAAAATTAAAAAAATAATACTTGTATAAATTGAACTCTCAAAACAAAATAACATTTATTCAATTGACCTGTGAATGCTCCTTATGGCATACAAGCTAATCACAAATTGGATTGTTTAATACGAAATGAAAATTGAATAATGAAGAATGGCGGACAACTTCTTCCCTGGTCTCTCATTTTCTGTCTGTCTACCCTTCCTGTACGCTTTTCGTGGCGGTGTCCTCGTCCTTCCCTAAATTTCATAGCGCATATATGGTTGCAACATTTACCATTTGCTTTTCTATAGTGGACGTTTTAAAAAGTTAAGATTTAAAGAAATAACATTTTTAAAAGGCGGTTTTCCTCAGTATGGTAGACATGATCCACCGATACAGGGTACAAAAAAAAAGACGATAAAGGACGAGGCATTTTGTTTAAAAATACGTAGTGATCTTTGTCAGCTGTTGTGAGTGAGCCCAGTCTTGTACTAGAAATAGTACAAAAATAGTTGTAAGTGTTTCCAAATCTATTCTACATTCATTTTGATATTAAGTTTTATTACACTCATCCTTGATAAGGATAAGAAGCTCCTGATTTATTACTAGAATTTGTTATGTAATCCTCAAAGGCAGATGCTTTAGCAGCATCTATTCAGTGCCGATAAAAATATTTATAGTTTTTGTAAGCTGTGAAATTCGAGAGAGATTTAGTTGAATCAGCGACCATTTTTAATTTCGGGAGATTATTTCTCTGACTACGTAAGCCATCATTGAACCAATCTACATGCATACGCTTTACTTTAGAGCCTGCTATACTTTTATATGGAAAATGATTTTTGATCTGATTAGTGAACACTTTAATATTATTCAGCTAAAGGGTCTATACTTGTACTTGTGAACTTGTGTCATCAAAAATATCCCAGTTTACACTTGCAAGAGATAAGTTGAACTTTTCAAAGTTTTTTTAGACATATTTCATTGCTCAATATCTGATGAGTTTACCCGATTATCGTTTTATAGCTCAATATGTATTCCATAATGGTCAGATAGGCAAGGATCAGTCATAGAAGAAAAAAAATAATCAAATTCTATATTCATAATGTTATCAATACAAGTTTGACTTTCTGAAGTTATTCTAGTATAGTCTGAAATAGTGGTCACCATATTATATGAATTAATTAAGTAACTGAGTTCAGTAAGATCATTGTTGGGTCGGGGCATTCTAAAATTGACATTAAAGTTACCAAAAATGACAATTTTATTAGAAATCCTTGTTACAAAGTTCAAAAGCTCCTCGAAAGATTCGAGAAATCTACCAAAATTACCAAGACAAGATCTGTACAAACATACCACTCTGTATTCGACTTTTCCAGCAATATTCCACAGAACTCGGCATGCACCTCACGACAAAAAGATGTCAAGTTCAAAGGCCAACCGATATCTTTCCGAAAATATGTGGAGGCACCCCCGTGTGCATTACTGTACCTACAAAAATAATACAATAAATTAAAGTTTATGATATTAATGTGATTTAGAGTGAATTCGTCTGCCCGATGCTCACTAAAACATAGGACATCATAGCTATTGCTCGAAGTCGGGAATTCGGCGTATCATTCAAGTAGCGCTGAAACAAGCTCGAATTTTGGAAGGACGGAGAGGTAACCCTGACGAAGAACGACGATAGAACCAAAAAAGCAGAAAAAGGCACAAGAACAAAATAGAATTTACTGGCGTGAACTTGGCAGCCAAAAGTTAGCAGCCTGACTCCCGAGTCTCCCCGAACAATCAGTGGCCTCGTTTATGTCTTATTTTTAGATATAATACATTCCTTTTTTTATAAATACGATAAAATTAATCCAGTTATTAGAGGTAAACAAGAAAATATTGCAAATGGATCCAATTAATGTTTTTGAAGGTAAACAAAGAATTAAAATATTGTAAATATTAATTCTTCACCAACTTACGGATGGGACTTTCCACATATTTTTCTCAGCCAGGTGAAGTCAAAAATGCTTCTTAGACACGATCAACTCATTATGGGGCACCTCACTTGAGCTGCAAATGGGTCCAAGTGTAGTTTTTGGGAGTGAAACAAGAAAATTGAAAAACTGGAAATATCAAACTTTCCCAGAATTTCGTGTCTTGCGACATTTTTTCCACAACCAAATGTATTAGAAACTGTGCCTAGGCACCATGGGCACATTTCAATGCATCTTACTCGACTTGCAAATGGGTCCAAGGGTGGTTTTAGGGGGTAAAGCAAGAAAATTAAAAAACTAGGAATATAATTTTTTTCCAGAATTACTTGTCTTACGACATTTTCTCCACAACGAAATGTATTAAAAACTGTGCGTAGGCATCATAAGCACATTTAAATGCATCTTACTCGACTTGCAAATGAGGTGGTTTTAGGGGGTAAAACAAGAAAATTGAAAAACTAGAAATATCAATTTTTCCCGGAATTACTTGTCCTGCGACATTTTCTTCACAACCAAATTTATTAGAA